CACGAACAATGGAAGGCCGAGGAGTGCCGAAAAAGGAGAGAGCATGCTCTCAGAATGAAAGAGCTTGATCTTCAAACTCAAGCACTTAAATGGGAGCGAGCTAAACACCAGCTCCACAACTTTCACACAGGCGAGAACATCGCGCATTTTCTTGATTTTGAAGTTGTCGGCTGTAATGTTGGTGTTAGTCCGCGACCTTTGGGTGGAGAAGCTCGCCACGCTGTTGCCACGCAAGATCGCGCTTGTTTTGAATTGCTTACCCTTCGAGGAAGCAAGAGACTTCAGTCTTGCTAGATATGCCTTGATAAGATATTTTTTTTCTTTCGAGTCCTGCTGACTGGGAAAGACGGAGCGATAGAGACAGCGCTGAAGTGCGTCGAAGGGCGCTAAAGGTAGACGCCTGCCGAAAAGAGCGTGAGGATGAGGCGCGACGTGAAACGATGGAGGCTGAGGCCCGTCACGTGGCGCTTGATGATGTCGCTCACTGGAAAGTATTGGATGATAATGACAGAAGCAAAGCGCAAGACGCCGAGGCTCGTTGCTATGCGCAAGCCCCTGAGCGCGTCAGAGAAAGCGGGGCGCTGAGGAAAGTCACGAGGTATCGGACGTTGAGGCTGGTCACAAAATGCAGGACGCCGAAAGTGCGTCAGACAGAGCCAGACGCTGAGGTACATCGCGAGGAGTTAGGGGCCGAGGCCCATCGCACAGCTAAGGACGCCGAAGCGCATCGTAAAGCGCTAGACAGGGAGCCGCTTCGCAGCGCACATAATCAAGATGCATCGCGTGAAAAAGAGCTTGACGACGAGTCGCATCGCAAGGCGCTAGAGGTTGACGCATGTCGACAAAATATTGAGCGGGATGCGCGAGATAAAGCGCTACAGAATAAAGCTCTTGAAAGAGAGCACGAGGCTGACGTAGAAGGGCAGAGAACAAGGGCTAACCACAACAGCGATATACCACGACCGATCGAAAGCTCCTTAGGCGCGTTAGTTGCATTTAAAGGCATCGGGACTCCCGTTCTGTCCCAAGCAGAGGCAGCTAGCAACGGGCCCGAGGATAAGCTAGATAACCAGTATGGAGTTTCTGGAGTACTTGTCAAAAGCAGCACACTTGGAAGTAAGTGTGTCGAGGCTGCCAGTATTGCGAGAAGTCCCGACAGAAAGAGGCGTCAGCGTAAGCGTAACGTGGTAAAAACGACGGGCGCCAAGAGTGCTAAAACTGCTGTTAGGTGCCATGACATCATCCATCGAGACACCATATTCACGGCTAGGCATAGGATCGCGACAGGGCTTTCTGGGAAATGTTTGAAGCTCAGACCATCACGAGGATCGACATTAGGCGGGAACCGCGTCAAGAAAAACCGACTTTCAGGAAAATTCGGACGCCGAGATCTTCGTCTGGTCTCATCAATTTTGGTGCTGCGTAGAGGCAATCACGAGGGAAAGCATCGCGCACGCCTGAGTTGTAACAAAGGCGGTTGTTCCCCACCGTGGAGAAATGGTCACTGGTCGAACGGGCAGCGTAAACGATGCAGTGCAGATTTATTTATTTTATTTATTTATTTATTTTGTTACCCTCAATCGCCGAAGCTTTACAGAGGGGAGTGGGTTACAACATGAAAAATATACGTGCTATTTTATACATGAACAAAACTAAAAAAAAAAAAAAAAAAAAAAAAAAACCTCTACTCAATGAGGCGCAACAAAAGTGAAACGTAAAATAAGGAAATCACAATGAGCAAATAGTGAATGTAGTAAAATTATACAGTACTAGCAAAAAAGTGTAAAAGTAAGGGAAATGACACGCACACACAAAAAATCAAGAATCCACTGGAAAACGCTGGCATCTTGACACGTGGAGACAGAACTTCGTAAGGAGGGGAATAGATCGGATGACTAAGGAGAGCTATCGCGAAATAGGTGAGCTGATAAAGAATGACGAAAGAGGGAGTGATCAGCGATGGAAACGATGTCACCTGGTAGCCGATTCCAATCGTTTGATGTGACCGGTATGAAGGAGCAAGAAAATGTGTTTGTGTAGCAGAAAGTACCTTTAACCTTGTGTTCATGGTCGATCCGAGAGGAGTGATATGTGGGAGGCGTAATGAGCTCATTACGCAGTGATGGATGATGGTAGGTCTTATGGAAAAGGCAAAGGCGGAAGTACTTGCGACGCAGTGATAGAGGTGGCAGTGACAAGTGGTGCTTCATTGCTGTTACGCTTGATGTACGGTGATAATCCGATAGAATAAAACGTGCAGCGTTATTTTGAATTAGCTCAAGGTGCCTAATCAAGTTTTCGTGGTGAGGGTTCCAGATTGCAGCAGCGTACTCCAATTTCGAGCGCACGAGGGTTTTATAAAGAAGCATCTTCAAGGAAAGTGGGGCGTTGCTGAAATTTCGACGTATGTATCCCAATGTACGGTTAGCATTGTTCGTGATGACGTTAATATGGGCATTCCATGTTAGATTGAAAGAAATGGTGCCCCTTTCTTCGAGTTCAGTGGATGGGGGTCAAAAGTCACTGCTACTGAGTTCGGCGAACAAGTTGGTTCGGCGTCCCATTGTCCAGACTGCAACGATCGAAAGCTGTGGAGTGCGCGACTCCCCAGAGTTCGTCTGAGATAGTGCTGCCTTACCAATACCAAGAGTGTATTTTGTGCTTAGCTTTGATAATTATTTTTGTAGTTTTGTCGTCAGCCGTTCAGCAAGGAATGCGTCTGAATTTTTAAAAGTTTGACTTTCCTTCTCATCGAAGAAGCTGACATTCATATGTTCGTTTGATTAATTTTGGTTTCATAATATTTCAAAAGTAACAGTTGGTGTGTTTTATTTTAACAGATAAGGCCAAGTAAAAGTCCATGTTTAAAATACCTTTAGTGTTTGACGTTACACTTATTATGCGCGTCAGTGTAGGTCAACTTTGCCCTTTGTTTTGTTTAACGCAAGCAAGTTTGATTTTCATTGTTATTCACTTACTTTTTCAAGCGCGTTTTATCTTGTTGTGATGATCATTGGCTGCGCGCATTGAAGTGAGAGCTTGAGGAGGACGAACTTTGTCAAGTTTGACAATCTTATGCTTGAAGGCGACGCAAATAAGCATGATTCGGGAGTTCTTGGTGCTCTAAATTGTAGATTCGGGGCCAAACTGAGTTAACCTCGGCAGCTTCGATCGTCCCTAATCTGCCCGGGTCACAATCGAGAATCACTCACGAAAAAAAAAACCTGTTTGGTTTAGCAGTGTCATGCACTGTAAAGGAGTGTCCACATTATGTATTGCTCCTCAGATACATTGCTCGTGATGCTATTTATTTTAGCTCAGTTAAATCTCGAGGAAATATTTTCATTTCTGCTGGTCTGGCGATTTGATCAGCATTTGGAGGGTGCTTGCTTTGGCCATAGTGGTTTGGCTTTGTGTTCGAGTCCGTCGTTCCAGTGAACCTCTGCAGGCCTATGGAATTCTCAACGGGCGGAAAGAGCGGAACGGCTACCGACTGTCACTCAGCATCCCTCCTTCCGAGCCGCGCTGACGGCTAAAAACTCCGGATGCATTGTCTGGCGGGCGGGGGTGCTGTTGTGCCACAGACATGCTCCTCAATCGGGAGCACGTCTCACGAGATCGAGCCCTGTTCCGACAAATTGTCTCCCCCCCCCCCTCCCAGCGCTGCCTTCCGTGCAGAAGAAGCGTGCAGTTCCGGGGATAACATCGCTTCCTCCACCGAACCACTTTGCAGTTCCGGGTAGGGCTGCGTCTCCTCAGCCGAGCCACTGTGCCGTTCCGGGGAACTGGTCTCGCAGAAGAGTCCCAAAACGCTATTTAAGGCCGTGCCGGCCCCATGTTAGCCAGATTTTGCCCCAGCCGACGTTGTCGTGCTGGCCGGCTCTGTACAAACGACAACCTGCTACAGTAAACGCTACTTTTGTTGCTGTTTTCAAAACGAATTGCCTCCCTGTTTCGCCTTCGGGCTAAGGCTTCAGCGAAGTCCGCTCGACGGCTCGCCGTTCTTCGCCACCGCTACCATCGCGACAGAGCAAATTCCTAACACTGCCAATATTATCTATTTCTCTTCTCTTAGTTTTTCTCATTATTACACTCCTTTTACATTGCCCCAGCATTGGGTAGCCGACCGGGCATTTGCCTGGTCAAGCTTCCTGCTTTCTCTCGCTCTTCTTCCTCCATAGTGCATACCTTTTATTGCATCATGCTATGCAAGAAGTTGTTCTAGATTAGTACAAGGTAATCTATGAAGTTGGAAGGGTCTTGTGTGAGTGAAGCCATCGCATATTTGCCAGGAAGTGCGGAAGTAGCGTTCACCGTCTATATTGAATTTGGCACGTTCAAAGAGGTTTTGCTGCCCCCTCGCGGAAAATGAAACACAAGACAAAAATAACTGATATTACAAGCTTCAAGGTGGCTTATATTATTTTTAGAGTTTATATTTTAGCTAGGCAACTAATTATACCATAATTATGCATTCAATGTATTAGGTTGCATGCTCTAAAGAAAAAGCAATTATACTTGCGACTTTTTTTTCGATTTCGGTGTGCGCCTAGTCGTATGTAAAGGGAATACGGGTAGTTAGGTTTGTACCTCTTACAATGACTGGCTGACTTTAAACCACGAAGTCATTATAGCAATAACATAATCTGACCCCCCCCCCCCATGGAGAGGTATGCTTGTAGAGTGAAATATTACTGCGAGAACTCGTGTTGCATATTGAGGACTATGCAGGACACGTGCGAGTGCAAAACGTGAACGTTATTTCCACTGCGTCAACAGGCATAGCAAGTTATTTCGACTGTATTTCCAAGCAGACGCGTGACTGCGCAATGAAACACCTGCTTGCCACGCAAAATGCCTGGGTTTGGTCCTCATTGAGACCCGTATATTGTAGTTATAATTGCATCTTTCTTAATTTTTCACTCACAACCAATGACGCGGACACCGGAATTTCTGCGAAACATGCTCTAGCGCTAATATGTTATAAAAATGGGGCTTACCGTGACCGACTTTATGACGAGTTTAACTAAGCTCGTAGAGCGTTGCGCAAAGCGTCCAAGCGCCCTGACGACTTCTCTGTCGAAGTATCCTCGAAGCAGGGTGAGAGTGTGCAGATTTTGCAGGGACTCAACGGCGTGGGACCATAGGGCGCCTTCCACTTGAGGTACCTGGTTGGCGTGGGGGAAGGGGGCATGTAGAAAACATTGAAAGCGTTACCATACCGTTGACACGCTTTTTGGGGTTAGTTGGTGGCTTAGAGATTTCTTTATACACACTGGAGAGAATTCATGTGCTAGTATCTACGGGAGCTGCAACACATGGCGCTTCTGTACCGCAAGAGAGTCGTGGTTAGTACACGGATTTGTCCACCAAGCCTAGAGCAGTTTTCTCGCCAGACAGAGCTTAGTAAATCTTCTGCAGTTTTATTTTGTCACCTCAACCTCTTATTCTCACCAATTCAAATGGGCTTAATTATTGTTGGCGTTTAATATCTCCAAACCATCATACGATTATCAGAGACACGGTAGCGGGGGGGGGGGGGGGTGGCTCCGGCAATTTTGACCAGCTGGGACTCCTTAGTGTTCTCATATATATCGCAATGCGCGCGCCTCAAGCAGTTTTGCTTCCATCGAAAATGCAGCCGCTGCAGTCGGGATTCCATCACCCGACCTGCGGTTCAGCAGCCGAGGGCCTCAGCCAGCAGGCGATCATTGCGGGTAATTCAAATTCGATTAAGTTCGTCTATAATTCAAAACCAAGTCGCAACACAATAAACAAAGCCGAAAGTGCGTCTGAAGCCTACGAAGACCAGGCAAATCCGTGTACTACACATCAATAATTCGCGGGTGAGCAATGATCGCGGCGCCAGAGTTGTCTCTTGGCTAACCTTATGAAACTATCATTGGTGATAAATTCTAACTTAAATATTACAGCGCTACATTTGACGAGCAGAGTACATGACAGGAAGGTGGTGCACTACAACTATTTTCATTGCAGTTGCCCCGCCCTCTATGCTGTTCCTTCGTGATTGCAGATGCTTTCATTGCCTTTTACTCCTGCGATTGCAATGTGTGTTTTCTCAACAAAAATTGTTGGTGTCGGCTAGCACCCGTCCTATGCTGCTCTTCTCCTCAAATGTAGTGTCACAATATTTGTAACAATTTACCGTATAGGCTAAAGCTCACGCTTTTGGTAGATTAGGGAAGGGAGTGCAGTAGAAGCGATGTCGAGAACAGTTTCACGATTTTGTATTAAGGCGCACTGAAGAGAGTGCCTGTTCAGAATATGGCAATCTATATGGTGTCGTTTAACATGAGCTCTGCGCACGCTGGCTTCAACAATCTTGTGGTGTCAAACCGATTCAGTGACAATACGAGTCAGCTGTTTTCAAGCGAAATATTGCGTAACGAATGCAATGTTTCTCAATGTTTCAAACCACAAATGCTATTAGTCTTCGGCATTTCGAAAATGAAGGAATCTTGAGAATATGTAGCATACTCGACAAGCAAATAAAATATTTAGGCTCCGAGCACTGAATTGACAACTTGTATAGTACCACTGCAATAATTCATTTGTTGGCTTACGGGACTCAAGGTTCCAATAGGAGCAACTAGCGAAGAGAGTGTAGGTTTATTCTAACTACGCCGAGCTATTTTACGTGAATGCACTGAAGAGTAACTATAGAAGTGAAGGCTTACAATGTCAAACAGATTATAGGCCACCTTGTTATGCGAAAAACTGTCGATGCTAGCTCGTATCACGCAACCCTTTGCCATTTTAGTAACCTTGGTATGAGAGACTGACGTCGGCCAGCCTTGTGTCAGGGGCATGCGCACAGCATTTAGATATTGCAGTGAGTTTTTTTAGGCAATTGAAATAATACTGTCAAGGAAAGTTCCATGTGTCCACATAGTCTTGCTCTGAACGGCATATCCAGCATTTTTACAGCCCCGTAAACGCTAGATAAACGTACGTATCGAAGCCACATGCACACGAGCCACTTTTGTTATTGATTTGATATGAGGCAAGCACAGGAATCAGCCATCAGCTATTAAATAACACCTCGATGGGGCGGCATTAAAGTTGACAAGTTTGAAAAGGACAAAAGGTCAGTCGACGTTGTCACAGTGAAACCAGAATGAAAAAAAAATTACCGTCCAAGCACTCCGTACTATTGCCAATGGGGCCCTGCAGCACTTTTTGAGCATGATCAGAAAGCACTACCGATTGGTAGTAGAGACTCCTGGGAACACGCGAGCCAAATATCGCGCAGCACGTGGCAAGGAATTCACAATAAGTCGACTAAATCCGCTAAAAATTGCTTTCTCTTCTCTTGACAACTCACGGAATAAGCCTAAAATTACTCGTAATCACATCACATCACTTTAATACCTTAAAAACCCCCATGTAGGGGGTATTACATAAGGGGTACTAAGCCCATCTGGGCTTATTACCCATATGAGCTTATTACCCATATGAGCTTATTACCCGTAAGAGTAATAAGCCCATCTATCAGCCATTGCCTGATTTGAACATTGCACACTCGTACGTTACAAAGATTGCAGCGCGAGACCACGGTTTGCCCTCACGTCCGCGCACGATCACACTAAAAAACTGCGCATTCGAAGAAAAAAAAGAGAAAAAAAGTGCTCCAGGTCACGAGGCGCACATGCAGTTTTTCTTTGCGCCCACCATTCCTCCCTGCTTAGCTTCTATCACTTTCGTCAGAACAAGAGAAGAGAGAATGCAATCAGCAGCATGCGACGAATCTTTGCAACTCCACTCGCACTGGACGGATTTTTAAAATTTTTGCAGCCGTTTCATTCGTGAGGCAATAGGCTCTTCCAGAGAGTTCATTCCGTGGTTACTTGAAAAAGTGTTTCAAGGCCCCTTAAAACAGAGAAGGCTGTAATATGCCACACCAGTGTTTAGCGATGGTTCGACCCGACGCTGCACACAAGCCTTTCACGAATATAGGTTACATGCTTATGCTTCCTAATGAGGTAAGGCGACCTCCTTGGGTTAGACCAAAGAGGTTTTGAATTGGGTTAGACATGCTTCTCGTTGATTTACCACAGTGTTTATTTCATATGCCGCACACTTGTGCCTCACGTGATTACGGTCATGAAGGAGTGTAATTAGCGGTTAAATGCATTTCGCATTGTATTAACCACAGGTGGTCATAGACGTATTAGCCGGAGCTATAAAGTGCCGCTGGAGGAACTCCCAACGAAAGCGGTAGTTCGCCCTCTGTGAACGCTCTCCCACAATTAGAACGTTGACAATGTCATGCCCAAAAGTGCGGGGCGTTGTTGCAAACGTTTCACATCGCGCGTTAACTCCGTGGCGTGGCTTTCGGAATTCCGCCGCCACGGGCGTTTGCGCTCTGGTTCGCAATTTCACGCAGCTTGGAAGGCTGCCGGATCATCGGTGGGTGGTTCCTGCTGGCATTCAGCCTCCCAGGCCTGTTTTTTTGTGTCCTGACTGGACCATCGGCCCTGTGAATGCGAGCTTCGTCACGTTTCTACTGTGGGCGCTCTTTTAAAGTTGTTTGTGGCTTATCCATGTAGAAAGTGTCAGTATAAACGTATGCGCACTTGCTTGACACCCCGGCTGCGACGTGATGAACGACGGTCGTTCACAGCACTGCCAATGTCGCGCGTGCTTGGGTACGCCGCTTAGAGTGATGTAACCTATAGCACAGCCAATAAAGAGCACTAGCAACACCAATGCCGAACAGTTTTACGATTTTCTACATGCAGTTTTTGCTTTAAAACCAGCAGTTGTTCCACGTATAAGGAAGAAAAAAGACATCGATACTGTCGGCAAAACTATCATCACCATGACGAGAAGGCGCGAGATCAGCGCTCGAGCACCCTTATCTTGGCCACCTGCGATCTTTTTTGTGCTACCACGCGCTTGCTCAAGCTCGTTCAATAAACCCCTTCACGATTGGTGGACCGTGCTGGGTAACCACATCACCTACGCCCTGGAACTCCGATCCCGAACCCTGCCGTAGACCTTGCATGTTGATGCTGCCCAACAGACAGTACCTCTTACGGCCACTACTTGCCCCGGCCTGGTTCACCAGCGAGACCCGCCAATCTTTGGCACCAAGGACCAGGACGTCGACGGCTGGCTGTTGTACTACGAAAAAGTCAGTGGCCCTAACAGGTGGAATGATGCAGCTAAGTTAGGCACCATCAACTTTGCTAATGTGGCGAAGCCTTGGTAGTAAACCACGAATCCATGATCGAAAACTGCGACGCTTTCAAGTAGGAAACATCCTCCGTTTTTGGTCGCCCTGCCATGCGGAACTTGCGCGCCAAACAACGCCGGCGTACGCGGGCACAACAACTAGGCGAAACATTCACCACCCATACCGAGGACATACTCGATCTCTGCAGGCACGTCGATGCCACAATGAGCGAAAGTGCCAAGATGCAGCACAGAATGACGGGTATCGATGACGATGTTTTTGAAATGCTCCTTGCGAAGCCTCCTCGAACGGTGTTCGAAGTGGTAACTCAGTTCCAGAGCTAAGACAAATTGCGACGACAACAAGCTCTCATCCGTCGTCCATCGCAGCGTAACCACCCGCTCGCTGCACTAGGCGTCGTGCCTGAACGCTCCCGCCTTCTAGCACAAATGAAAGACTTCATGTGTGAGGAGGTCATACGTCGGCTTTACCACCTGCCGTTTTCTCAGCACCAAGAGCTCCCGCAGCAGCAGCAGCAAGTGTGACCACTGACCCCGTTGGCTCCAATGCTTCGACATGCCCTTCAGGACCAGATTGCCGAGGCTATGCCAGTGCCCTTTCAGCAGCACATTGTCGCCGTGCCTCTTAATTATTCTGACGCAGTAAAGGGGCAGCAGCTACACCAGTCCTTGCCGTTCAGTGGACTGACACTTGTCCCCGCTCCTACTCAGTCGTCCATCGCATGGGCTCCTCCCCTTGCTACCGCAGCCTCGACTCAGCCGTTCGACATGTGTGCGGCGCCCCTCGCGGCAAACGCCTGGCGAACGTGCGATAACCAGCCGATCCGCTTTATATGCGGCGGCCCTGGCCATATCACCCGATACTGCCGCCGACGTGCGCCCGGCTAGATAGACGCAAGGTCACAGAGCAACTACACCGACACAACGTCTTCTGGTTACAAAAGTTCAGATCCTCAGTCAAGCAGGTCTTTACGTGACTATTCGGTAGCAACGTCTCATCGCTCACCTTCACCCATTAGTCGCTCCTTGTCACCCATGCGTCGACGACCAGCCCCTGAAAATGAGGGAAACTAGCCATCGCCGTTCAGGAAACAATAACTGTGATATCGAAATGCTCAAGTCCTCGAACTTTGCCATCAAATATTGTCGAAGTTTTTGTAGATGGCGCCCATACATACGCTCTTGTAGATACTGGTACCGCCATGTCTGTTATAGATGCTACAGATTGCCGCAAGCTACGAAAACTGACCATGCCGCTTGATAAGATGTTCTTGCGTTCAGTGAATGGATAACTTACTTAGGCCTATAGCCGCCTGCACTGTGCGACTCGCCATCGTGGAATAATTGATTGATTGATTGATTGATTGATTTATTGATTGATATGTGGGGTTTAACATTCCAAAACCATCATAGATGCCGTAATGGAAGGCTCTGGAAGTTTTGACCACCTGGGGTTCTTTAACGTGTGCCCAAATCTGAGAACACGGACCTACAATATTTCCGCCTCCATCTGAAATGCAGCCGCTGCAGCCGGGATTCGATCTCGCAACCAGCGGGTCAGCAGCCGAGTACCTAAGCCACTAGACTACCGCGGCGGGGCTTACCATCGCGGAGGATCACTGCAATATTCAGTGTATTGTCCTTTCCTCCTGCTCTCATATGATACTTGGCTGGAATGTCCTATCGCGTAATTACGCCGTTATATATTGTGCCCGTTCCGAACTTGAACTGCTCCCATTCTTCGACCAGCTATACGACCACACGCATCAAGCCACACACAAGCTAGTAGTCAAAGAAGACCCTGACATCTAAATCAGCATCTGTTTTGCGTCCTGTGTTCTCGGAACGAATGTGTGATGAAGTAGCACTCTGAGCCTACAAGCCTCTTTCTAAGTCGCAAGCCACTTCTCCCTTACTCAGCGCAATCAATTTCAAATGAAGCCAGTGCTCTCTGCCTCACCAAGGCTGAATTGAACTACAGTGTCACTGAGAAGAAATGTTTGGCAATCGTTTGGGCACTTGTCAAGTTCCTCCCATACCTTTATAAACGTACTTTTGATGTAACGGACCACCACGCAATATGCTGGTTGTCTTCACTGGAAGATCTATCGGGTCGCCTCGACCGTAGGGCTTTTCAGCTTCAAAAATACGACATCCACGTTGTATACCATTCCAGCCGTAAGCATACCGATGCTGATGCACTGTCAAGGTCCCCACTATTTCTGACATTGCATTAATTACCTCAGGCCACACGTTGTCAGCTCTTTACGTGGACACGATCTGCTCTGCACAACGCAATGATCCACGGATGGCTTCGCTTCCTGATGTGTTATCCGAGGCACCGACACTTCCGACCACTCGAAGCCTTCACCGCCAGGCTCCGCACTTCAGTATTTGAGATGTCCTTTTATACAGGCGCTACTATTGAGCAGATAGCAGGAAATTACTACGAGTCATTCCCCAAGCGCTTCGCTCTGCAATCTGCATGTCGTTTCATTCCGACCCGCGATGTGCTCACACCGGTGTTTTTAAAACCTATGAGCACCTACGAAAAAGGTATTACTGGCGTGGAATGCGTACCTTCATCCGCCAGTTCATTCGCGGCTGCCACAAATGTCAATGGTGGAAAAACCCGCCAAATCCTTCGACAGATTCATTGCAACCACTTCCATGCACAGACCACCCATTCGACTGCGTAAGAATTTACCTGTACGGACCACTGCCATTGACAACAGGCGGTCTTACCGATGAGTCTATCATGCTTTGGACTATCTTGCACGGTATGCTGAAACTGCTGCTCTTCCCACAGCGACAGAACAAGACGTCGCATCTTTCATCCTCAATCGCTTTTTGCTTCGTCATGGCCCTCCTCGTGAACTCCTCAGTGGCCGTGGGCGTGTAGTCCTCTCCGAAGTAATCCAAGCACTTTTTCAACAGTGCAATATTCTACACCAGAGGACTCTAGCCTACCACCCACAGTCGAACGGTTTGACTAGGCAGTTTAGTCGCACTCTGGGTGACATGCTGGCGACCCATGTCACTTCTGATCGAACAAACTGGGACCTCATTCTTCGATTTGTGACATATGCATATAACACCGCTACGCAAGTCACTACCGGGCTTTCCCATTTTTTTCCCTTTACGGTCGCCACCCATCCCACACCATCGACACTTTGCTGCCGTTCGTGCCAGATCCCTCTGAATGCGCACCTGTCACGTCACGAAGAATAATGTCACAAGCTGACCCAGCGGCTTACTACGGCCGACCAACAGCGCCAGAAGGAGACCCGCAACGATAACCATCGTTCTGCATCCATGTTCGTTCCTGGAGCACTGGCATGATTGCATGTACCACCCTGCGCACCTGGTGTATCGCCCAAGCTACTTTCCAATTATAACCCCTACCACGTGGCAGAGCGTACATCACCTGTAAACTACGCCATTGAACCTCTTACGCCACCGAGTGACCATTGGCGGCGTGGACGTGACATCGTTCACGTAGACCATCTCAAGCCCTATTTCAACCCGCTTGTGCCCACCTGCTAGATTGCCAGGATGAATAAATCTTTTTCACCGGGGTAAGTATAATGAAGAAGAAAGACATTGATATTATGGGCAAAACTATCATCACGAGAAGAAGGCACGAGATCAGCGCTTGAGCACCCTAACCATCATCATCATCATAATCTTGGTCCGCCTGCGTTCTTGTTCGAACTACCACCCGCTTGTTCGGCTCGTTCACTAAACCCCTTTACACATGTACGAGTACAACTGACGAACACAGCTCTTTTAGAAAAAAGACGCAATCGACTCATGAAGGTGGCAGAGTGAGGAGCGGGTGGAGTGAGCGTTGGCTGCGTTCGCGACGAAGAGAGGTAGTGTGCGGTGCTTGTGCTCCCGCTGCACGCTGAGCGGAAGCACACCTGTTTTGCTAGGCGCGACTGCTTAGCGCAAGAAGCTCAGCCAAGAACAGGGAAGTGTAGAAAAACCGAAAAAAAAAACGCGAGGCCTGCGCGCACAATGCAACAGAGTAGAGCTGGAACAGTGGCATTTCTAGAGCCCATTGTAAATTCTCATGGCACTGCTGAGAGCACATACTCAAGGTACCCATTGCTTCATAAACCTATTTTTGTCAAGGTGGGAAGTCCCAAGTAGGTTACTCACCAATCCGCAGAAAATAGTGGTACCCGCTAAAAATTTCCGAGGCATTATGTTTACTTTCATGATTCGGTGGCTGATGACAATGATAAAACTGGCACTTTAATGGGTTCGAAAACCTAAACAACCCGGTTGTTACGCGGTTCGCATTGTTTGTTTGCTGCCTCGCTCTTTCTCTGTGATATCATGCTATACTAAATCTTTAACGTGATTCCTTTTGACACACAGCGATGCCAGCTCCGGATGGTTTTGAATCAACTTGACCCCGGACCATTTTGTGTGCAGAAGATACTAGGACCTTGGGCATCTGCCTCAGTTGCGCAGAAGGCAACTAAAGCACTGCTACTTTACCTAAAGTCAACAAACCTGGGCGACCGCCTGCAGACTGTGTGTGCTCTCCAAGTGTGCTCGTGATTGTGTGTACCTTCTCATCTCTCTGCAACCTCTTTTCTCCCCTTTATTCCTTCCCTAGTGCAGGGTAGCAAACCGTAAGTGCGTCTGGTTAACCTCCCTGCCTTTCCTTGCATCTTTACTTCTCTCTCTTTTGCGAAATGTAGTCTTTAGAGCATCATTTTGCGAAGGAGTTTTAAGGGCTGGCATCGATATGGTAGAATATTGGGCTGCTACGGGCAGGGCCCGGTTTTGAGCCTCATACCATCCTGAATATTTATTAATTTCTTTTTAACTTATTTCGCACAATAGTGGTTATGGAAACCAGTGGCTGACAGCTACGGCAAAAAAAAACGGTTGCGACTTCATAGCACCTTCCAGATAGAAAATTTTGTGCGTACAACAGAAATTTTAAACTAGAAGAATAATAAATTATGGGTTATACAAATCGGAGCACTCCATAGGATTGTCTCTGGGCAGTGAGCGACACAGTGGTAATGTGTGTGAATTCCGCAAGAGTGCAACAGTCAACAGAACATGAACATCGGCATGCATTGATGTTTTATATGGTTGTATCAATGAGTACAAAATCTAGCGTATATGCTGTTCCCCTCAAGAAAGACACTAGCTTGAACAAACTGTTTTCGTCACCGTCAACGATCTAGCGATGTTAACCAGTTCAAAAGCTGAAGACCTACATATTCAAAGCATCACCTCTTTGTAAATAAGCCAGACGCAGCAAGAGCAAATACGCATATAGACATGTGGCGGCCTGTACGTGGACGTCGGCTTGCGTTTGCTCTGTCTTCAGTATGAACCACACGCGTAGGCGTGTGCAGGGTACGACATTCGTTATGTCAAACGTTTTTCATAGAGCCTTCGACTTGGTGAAGTCAAAGTATGCGACAAAATTAGCAGCCCCCCCCCCCCGCCCAGCACATGTTCAGTCGTTGCATTTCACTACCTTAATCTTTTAGGCTCACCAGTGCAAGTCGCTCAACGAAGTTCCAAACTATTCGTTTTTTTCTAATAAACATAACCAAAATGCAGCAATAAATAAAACCACAAGCGCGTCGGAAGGCTGCGAGCAGGAACACTGCAAGTCCGTATACTACTGCTTCCTACGGTCGCTAAACAATCGCAACGCCAGAGTAATGCCAAGTTAACTTTAGTAAACAAAGCGTTAACTTGCGATCGATTCTCCTGATTAGTCGTCGCCTCACGACATTCACATGCCTCTTTCAAGCGGCAAGCCGTGAATCTCGATCTCTTGCCCTTCTGACGCGTGCAGCATGACTGGCATGCTTTTGCCGCTCACGTGGCGAAGCCGTTATACGCAAACCGTCGGGTACGTGCACTGCTTACCGTGCCAGAATAGTGGGCGTCATTGGCACGGTACTCCAAGTACTCCAACTCATGAGAGAATGTCTTGATGGCGTGCCAGACCATTACAGGTTCGAGATCGTTGCTCATCAGGTCCAGCACGATGCGCACGACGCACCTGCAGAATCAAAGCAGAGAATAGGAAGTTCATACGTGAACCTTTACTTATTGAGAAGAAAATATATTACACCAACGACTAGACTCACCATCACAGCAGAAGGCCGCGCAAGCGCTACTGGGCTTTTTGTAAACTACTCGACTAGACTCATCACAGCAGAAGGCCGTACAAACGCGACTGAGTTTTTTACGAACTACTGGCTTGTGTGAATCACAATAATTGAATTGATTTTGTGAGTGCGTGCTTCTCTGTTTTGCTCTAATTGAATAAAAATGCCTTTCTTGTATATGGGGACCTTCAACGACAAATTTTTTGTCTGTCTGCCTGTCTCTAGATTTGTCTGTTTGTCCGCCGTAGCGACACCGCAAACAGCACCAATCGATACTTCAAACGGCCAACCCCATCCGCAGCGCCCACCAATAATCCTCAAGTTCCAACGTTCAGTACATGTGCGATTGTCAATTAAAAAGCAACTATTGCGCATACTGCGAGGCACAATAACAACACGTCGATGTTTTGCATGTGTGCTTTCATGCTAAAGAAGGCACAAAAAAGTAATTCTAAGGACCGCTGCGTTTATCACACTGCGCTGGCAGCGCAACGTGGTGCTCGAAAGGGCAAGTGTTTTCTAACGCTTTGCTAAGACGACAGGGTGGTGGCACCTGCCCGTTGCTTTGCGTTCTACACCTTATCACCTTTGAGACAGGCGCGCATCTTTCTCCGTCAGCACGCAAGCCTTCCTTCGTTTTCAAAGATAACTGCCAGATGGCACTCGTGTCCAACGTGCCTCGACGCGCTCGTTCGCGTTGGCTGCGCGGATCGAGACTCTAGCGTAGCGCTTCAAGAATACAATTCACTGATTTTCACGAGCATAACACCAAATAAATGTTTTATTCACTCTCTCCACACGCAAGACTATCGTCTTTCGACTACATTTGCAGGGAAACATGTAGATACGTGGCCAATTTTTTTTATCTCTCTCTTTCTTTCAACCCCCTGCCTACCAACACCATTTCAGGGTAGCATACCGGATCCTAGCATCTGGTTAACCTCCTTGCATTTCTTTTTTCTTGTCTCTCTCTCTGTCTCCCTCTATTTAAGGAGTATAGTAGGCTAAACACGTAGAAATTATATTTGAAATTTCGGCCCTCAAATATCCCCTGCAATCTGAGCAAGAAACATGTGGAAGCCCAACATGAAGCGGCTATTTCAAGTGGTTAAAATGCCGTGCCAAATAAAGTTACTGTATATGCAGTAACTTTATTACTGCATATACAGTAATACGGTTACTGTATATACAGTATATTACTGCATATACAGTAGTACGGTTGCATATGCAGTAACTCTTTACAGTTACTGTATATGCTACCTAAACGTAGCGTATGCAGTAACTCTAGCACCGAAGCGCCCTCTGGCGTAAGCCATTTGTCTACGTAAAAATTCATCTTTCTTCAATTGCGTTTATTCTCATTTTTTTTCAACTTCATGGTATCTTTTCTAAAAAAATACTCAATCAATTTTTATGAATCTTCATATGCGTGAGGTACCACAAATGTTTTTTCTCACACTTCATGAAAATGTATTATTTTCTAGTTCAGCTGTAACCTGCTAGTCTCTGAAATAAGACAACCGAATACTATTACATTTATTTCAGTAGTTGCAAAGATAACACATATTGAATAAGTGAAGCCCCTCTAAATTTTTAAAGTGGGTCATAGGAAGGACAGGCCACCCAAGCATTAAAAAAGGGTGTTCCTTGAATACCCAGTGCCATTTTTGTCAGTACATCAAATTATATGGGAACCCTTGAAGCCGATATTATTTTAATATGCTATATCTGACATATACCCTTTACTCTTCCACGCCCCCTTAACTAGGTCACCTGAACCCGCGAAATAGTTTGTGAGATCAGGAACTTCGTACAATCAAAAATTGGCAGATTCACATACAGTGGGGATTGATGATGTGCGAAGCACGAATAAGAAAGGTTGATATGTCACTTTAAAATCAGCACAATATTACGAGGTGGAGATGGGCAGGGTCCGACAGCAAGTTATATTTTCACAGACTTTTCTTTCTTCATATTTACATTACAATTTGGTCAAATCTTCCCCTACATTTTCCTTGGCATTATTATCTGTTAGATATCATTACTCTTGTGTAGAACACAGAAAAACGAGCCGTAAGTAAACACTTCTTTTCTTAACGTACATATATATATATATATATATATATATATATATATATATATATATATATATGCATGTGCGTGTGCGTGCGTGCGTGCGTGCGTGTCGTGAACTGATCATGGTTTTATGGTTTTGAGACGCATGCGAGCCTAACTTATGTCGCGCTTGTTTTCAATTTGTTAGGGTTCATGTTTTACAGTACTCTTGGCTATAAATACATTTAGTGGACATGCTTGCGTTTCCTGCTTATTGAATACGCATCATGTGAACCTACAAGCGACCTTACAGTGCCCGCAACTACCATGCTGGTATCAAAGTGGCCTGATTATCTTAGGCAAGTTGTATAGCAATTGCTGTGATAAACACGAAACAAACCTAAAATTAACGCAATTGATTTAGCAGTTTCAATGCACCGGTGTTGTACACAACGATTCACTCTCGGGCAGACATGGCAGCCGCTTGGCACTGCCACTCGCGGCGACATCAGCGAGAGCTCGTCAACGCTCCGATGTTCCCTTTAAAAATGTATCGCTGTGTATTTTTGCACGCATAATACCAACGTGTGAAGACACTCACCGTTCATTTTCACTTTCCCATCTAGACACAAGTTTTATACTATGCTGTTCTTTTCGATGGATGGATAACAACGATGCGTTCAAACTCGTGTCTCTGTGACCACGACTGCCACGCCATGCATATCTACTGACAAACGAAATCATAGACGTGTTAACCTGTGTTGGCGGATCATCAAGTGCATTAGCAGAGAAGCTCGAAGCAAGTCGGGTAGTGGCACTGGCACCGCTATCGGCAGTGGCCCGCCATATCCCTGCAGGGTGAGCTCGCCCCACTTGTGTTCTCGCACCTCAAAGAAGGCCTTCGCGAGAATACGGTTCCAGGCATCGAGCTCGTCAATGAGCCAACAGCGTTTCTCGTCCCGCTGACAAGTGCAGGCACGTTCGTAGGGCAATCGGTCTGAACGGTCTTCGTCATCATCGTCGTCGTCAGGGTCATCACCTTTGGAAGTCTTGCGACCGCGACCCCTGCCGGCAAGGCGCCCCCCTGCATCGAGATAACCCGCGGGGTAGGAATAGCAAGCATTGAGCCATTTGTAACTCATCTGTTTCTAAGATTACAGAAGAATAAGTAGGGAGGAAAAAGTTGAAAAGCAGCGCAGAAGTAGACAACGGAAAACGCATACATAAAAAGACGCAAACAGAAGCATTGTAGTGATAATTTTTTGACGAAAGACCAAGCTTAGACAGGAGATTACGCACATATGCACTGACAAATAAAAACCACAAGAAGACCATACAAAAGCCACATGGATAAAATAACACAAAACACATGGTGCTGATAAAAATTGCTTTACAGGGGCCATATATTGGCTATATATGGAGGTATTGTCGCGTTTTTTTAGAGAATGCGTCTTTCTAGGTGGGCGTGTTTGGGGTCCTTTTGTGCACTGCTTTATTGGAAATAATGGCTCAGCCACTGCCCCGCCAGTATGTTTCAGCACTATTTTTTGTATTGCATATTTTGATTTTATAATTTTTTCTTTTAATGTTCCTCTCTTGTTTTTTGTACGTAAGCGTGGCCATACTTGAAAAAAAACATTACCTGATAGATGGTGCATGACCCTGTGTTGTCTCAGCTTTTTTTTGTCGGTCCCTGTCAGATCAGGAAGCTCATTTCAAAATGAAAACTTACTCGTACTAGACATCATGCATGGCGAAATTTAGAAATAATGAAGGACCACACCACGTTAACTCTGATCACCTGGGATCAAATACCTCATATATGTCAGCAAACGGGAGTTTCGTGCAACTTTATACGTGCTAATTTTTAAATGACGCATAGACCACTCACAAATATTCTGGGCACAATAATTACAGCTCAGAAGAGATAGCCGAACCATTTGTTATCTATATAGTACCGCTGACCTGTTTGTTACCTTTCTGCTTTTTGTTTATCGCGCATGTGATTGATTTTTCCTTTTTTGTGAGCTATATAATGCATCCAATTCTCGAGGCAGCTTGTGTTGTTCAGCTCACTTTGGGGTGATTTTGTCTGTTCCCTCCGAAATGCAATAAGTACATACGTTCGCGTTGGTCCTCCAAACCAGCATCCGCAAACTGAGCATAACAATACTGTAGGCGCACATATCACTCATTGGGCTAGTTGGTGCATTGCATAAGAATTGGAACTAATAAAATAACGAACGCAAAAAAAGATGAACGAGACAGAAAAGTGGCTAGACTAACAGCTGTTTGGTAGTCTAGCTGCTTTCCTGTCTTCTTCGTTTAATGTATTTGTAAATTTATTGGCTGGATTTTTTCAGTGTTTAGTGAATACATTATTCTTTGTAAATTGTTCAATTGTACTTCACAAATATCAAAACATTATGCTTAAAACGCAAAGAAAGATAACGCAAGAGTGAGCAAACACTAGAGCACTTGACCAGCGTGTTCTCTCTCGCGTGTTGTTTTGCTGTGCATCGCTGAAGGATGGGTATGGTCCAACTCACCCGGATTTCGGTTAAACGTCTAAAGAAATGCCCGAATTGCGCTGATGGCGAATTATTGGCTGCACCAAGAAAAAAATCAGTTACGTGGGTGCTCACTGATTTTCTCGATGAACAAGTCAATCCAGTAATAATTAAAGTGAAATGTACATCCCCCGTCAAACGCGAAAACTGACCGGAGTTTCCCAACTGAAGCAAAACAGATATGACGCCATCATCTCATCAAGATATACTTTATCATGTGACGTTACCATACAGGATCTTTGATTGGTAAAAGGCGGGATACCAACACCAGGCTTCACAGCATCACCTAAGATGTCTGGGTATTTTGGGGTACTGTGAAACCGCGTCAGGTGGAGAAAGGTGTAGGAAGTGGGGCTTAGAACACAGGGGCTTAGAAAAGAAAGTTGGCTTTCCGCATGAAGCCATTTCAGGGAATACGCAAGGGACCTTGCGAGTTCTTCGTGCGTGTGTGCGTGCGTGTGCGTGCGCAAGAACACACTAAAACCCACCATCTTCATGTGCGACTGACAGTGGCCTTATACCCCCATCTCTTCATCCGAGAAAGGCTGTAAATCTATACAATTTTACGTACTAACGCTACGATTGTGAATGGTGACCGCGCCATTGCGATGACCCACTGCCGTGTCGGTTGTAAACGAACGCCGCTGTCCCTCGTTTGCGTCGCTTATCTGAGGCGCTTCACGTGCGGCATGGTCCGAGGATCGCACGAATTAACCGCGTTGTGGCCAAATATCGTTAAGATAACGAGATTGCAAGGAAGGAATGCAAAAGAGAGAATGCGGGGATGTCAACCAGGCAGTGGTCCGGTTGGTTACCCAACACCGGGGGAAAAGGGAGGGGGAATGGTAAGAGATGAAGAGATGAGTAAAGAAGATTCGACATCATCAAACAATGTACGAGTATATGCTGGCTGAGACTCTAGCACACGTCCGAATAATTCGAGTGAAAGATCATTTACTTCATGAAGGAAAACACTCGGAGAAGCAATACCCGACTTACCGCCAACGCGTTTCTTTAAACCGCCGAACACTGCGCCCCAAGCTCTCGAAACCGTGGAGCTTAATGAAGGCCTGGAGCGGCCGGCCCCAAGAGCGCGACGGAACACCTCGTTGAAGATGGCGGTGACTTCGTCCACTGTCGGATTAGTCCGCCTGCAGAGACTTTGCAGCAGGGCCATGTACCGCGGTGTCAGCACACCAGCACCTTGTCCTTGCTTAGATGAACTGGCCATCTTCTGTAAGCAAGGAAGTTGAGATCCCGTTATTATTCACTGCCAACCAATAACTTCATTTTAGTATGTTCTGAAAATTTACGTGGGATAAATGATAGCCTTCTTTCACGAGCTTCAGGAGTCAGATGCTCCATCCGCAGGTTTATATATGGAAGGGAGAAGTTTAGGGGTAAATGGAAGCTCGTGAAGGTGAAACATTCCTGGATACGGGTCGTCACTGGAGCCCACGTCTCAACAGGTCGACCTGTGTGCTTGGATGTTGCAAGTTTTCTTCAACTTGCAGCTTTATACCTTTATTACCCGATGTACACAATTCTTTACACCATTTCTTCTTGTTATTTGCATCATGTAAAGGCTATAGAAAAGAGTAAAGTATGTCATGCTTGGATGATTGAACCTCCTGAATAATAAGTGTGTCTTCATTTAACTTCATTTTGCAGTATACTGATACATATGATCACTTTTTTGAAAGCACTACCACTTTCGACGAGTCGTGCGACGTGCCGCTTTGTGCAAGCTGTGTCAAAAGCAGGATTTTTCGGTGCTCAAAATTGACATTACTAAAAGTGAGTTTGCACTGTATTCCTAGCTCGAGATTTGCTGCTGCCAAAAGTAAGCATCCATAATTTTAGGTTAAAGAATTATTTATTTACAGCTTAATCAGAGCGACTTACTATAACAGATGTATTCAACAATTATCTCATTATTCTGTGTGTTATAGAATATTGAGTGCCTTGAAGTATATAACGTAAAGGTTTGACACATTTACCGACAGTTTTTCACAGGTGGCGTCTGAAAGTGTTAAGATGGCTCCGCTTGTAGAAACGTCGGCTGCAGTGACTCCCTGTATTCGACGTCATCCTTACTAATATATTACCATGCTACAAGTAGCTTGGCAATTCTTTCGTCGTTTTCTCGAACAAGCACAAGGCAGCTGGAAATGTCAAGGTATTATTCATGCAATGTCCGATCACGTCGTTCGCGTTGGCCACCAATCATTTAATGACTACTCACCCCAGAAGTATTTGGAAATATTTGCGTACACTGAAGGGAAAACACAAAGTGGCAAAGGGAGGCCTTGTACAGGACACGAAAAATTTTGCGCAACAAAGTACCAAATGGCGGAGCTGTGTAAAAGGAAGTTTTGAAGAGATAGTTTATACATAATACTGCGAGGAAGCAGCGCGTACGAGCGCTGTGTCTCAGCTAAGATTTATTCTGGGGCAAAACCAAAAAGAAAATCGAAGTGTACCACAAGAGTAAGGCGAAGATATGAAAAAATTTTAACTTGTTAATTTATAGAAGTGATTTTGTAGCACATTTCAAGAATAGCAGAAGCACACTTTAGCCATGTGTAGATGTCTTCTTTAAGTATGGTTGGGAAAAGTTCCATTGTGATACTACCGGACCTATAGTTAAATCTCATATAATACAGGAGTACTAGTGACAGAGCAGAAATGTACTTATTCAAGGTGTGTTGACGTAAAATTTCTGGCGAGATGGCCTATAGATGTATTTCCGTGAACAAGCATGCATAAGCAAAATAAAAGCGGATAGAATTTCAAATGAATTTCAATGTTCACGTGCCGATTTATACTCGCAGTATTGACATCCGCAAATGTGAACCCATGGGCACCCGCCTACTTGTCTCGCGTCACCATGATGCTGTCAATTCAAATTACGATGATGCCGTAGCCGCCACTTTCCCTTTGCTGCGTTTGCTTCAGCAGACTACTTTTCGGTAGCTGCTCGCGACTTCGTTGTCTGGGCGTGCAGGAGTTTTTTGTTTGGCGACGCTGTTGTCCCATTTCCTCATCGTTCCTATTCTTGTGAAAGTGTGTTACACTTCTCTGTGCTGACGTGGTTAAGCGTTGCACACGCTAGGTAGTGATAGTTGCCACTGGCGGCTTGTTTTTGAAGCTCTCTCAAACAAAAACTGGAACTGATTTGTAATACAGAACCCGTAATTGTCTGTCACGCACTACAGTCAACGGTGTGCCGTGCCGAGACTAGCAGACTCCCAGCAACATATCGCACAAAAAAAACAAAGAAGCGAGGCTAAAACTTCGTTGTGAGTACACTTTTGACATCTTGTCACCTCTGGACAAGATTCAAAGCATCGTTCAAAGTAAAAAAAAACAGCAACACTCGTACGCAGTTCTACATCGGCTACATGTCAGACGTCGGATAAACCACAGTGCTAAAGTTCAAGAACACTAGACTAGACAGTGCTAAAATTTAGTAAACTAGCAAATCCAGTATAAACAGGTTACGCGATTTTTCAGGGCTCAGTAATTACTTTGTTTTTTTGTTATTTGTGCTCAAAATGCACTAGTAACCCATATCGCAATATCAATAAATCAAGGTTTAAAGGAAAAGAAAAATAATATCTTTTCTCCTACATTTTTGTAATAATGAAAGACTGAAAATTTAAGGACTAGTTTTTTGTTCATACACCTTGGCACAACAGCAATAAACAATAACAGACAATAAAGCCAAGTATAGACAAGTTATTGTAGTCAGTCATGTAGGCTGGAACCTGAACTTGGCAACGTTTAACGCTGGAACCTTATCTAGTAAGGGAAGTCTAGCTGTACTATTCGAGGAGCTAGAGGGTGTTAAATGGGATATAATAGGGCTCAGTGAGGTTAGGAGGACAGATGAGGCCTATACGGTGCTACAGGATGGGCACGTCCTTTGCTATCGGGGCTTGGCAGAGAGAAGAGAACTGGGAGTGGGGTACCTAATTCACAGAAACATAGCTGGCGACATAGAGGAATACTATAGCATTAATAAAAGGGTGGTAGGTATCGTAATTAAACTGAATAAAAGATACAAGATGAAGGTAGTACAGGCTAACGCGCCTACATCCAGCCATGATGACGCTTCAGTTGAAAGCTTCTATAAAGACGTGGAATCGGCAATGAGTAAGGTAAAAACACAGTATACTATAGTAATGGGCGACTTTAATGCAAAAGTAGGGAAGAAGCAGGCTGGAGACCACGCAGTAGGAGATTATGGCATTGGTACTAGAAACGCCAGAGGAGAGCTGCTAGTAGAATTCGCAGAACGCAATATTTTCCGATTTTTAATACCTTCTACCGAAAACGAGAAAGCCGCAAGTGGACATGGAAGAGCCCTAATGGCGAAAATGAAAACGAAATAGACTTTGTAATGAGTGCACACCCAGGAATCGTGCAGTATGTGGAAGTGGTTGGCAAGGTACGATGCAGTGACCATAGAATGGTACGGTCTCGAATTCGCCTAGACTTGAAGGAACGACAGAAACTAATACGCAAGAAGCCAATCAATGAGCTAGCACTTAGAGAAAAAGTACAGGAATTCAGAGTGTCGCTGCAAAACAGGTACTCTGCTCTTAGTGAGGAAACCAACCTTAGCGTAGATACAATGAATGATAATCTGACGAGTATCATTACGGAGTGTGCAGTGGAAGTTGGAGGCAGGGTAGTTAGACAGGACACTGACAAGCTTTCTCAAGAAACGAAGAACCTAATTAAGAAGCGTCAAATCATCAAAGTGTCAAGTACAATAGACAAAATAGAACTGGCAGAGCTTACGAAGTTGATTAATAGACGTAAGGTATGCGATGTAAGAAAGTATAACGTGGAGAGAATTGAACACGCTCTGAAAAACGGAGGAAGCGTTAAAGCAGTGAAGAGGAAACTTGGGATAGGCAAAAATCGGCTGTATGCACTAAGGGACAAAGAAGGCAAAATAACTACCAATATAGATAGGATAGTTAAAATAGCGGAGGAGTTTTACAGAGATCTGTACACTAGCCGAGACAACCACGACCATAATACTATAAGAACTTGCAGTAACCCAGATGACACCCCACCAGTAATGATAGAAGAAGTCAGAAAAGCTTTGGAGAGCATGCAAAGAGGCAAAGCTGCTGGTGAGGATCAGGTAACATCAGATCTGCTGAAAGATGCAGGACAGATTGTGTTAGACAAACTAGCCACCCTGTTTACGAGGTGTCTCCTGACGGGAAGAGTGTGAGAGTCTTGGAAGAACGCTAACATCATCCTAATACATAAGAAAGGAGATGACAAGGACTTGAAGATGTACAGGCCTATCAGTTTGCTCTCTGTAGTATGCAAGCTATTTACAAAGGTAATTGCTAACAGAGTAAAGAAAACATTAGAATTCAATCAACCAAAGGAACAAGCTGGATTTCGAACAGGCCACTCAATAATTGACCACATTCGTGCTATCAATCAGGTAATAGACAAATGCTCAGAGTATAACCAACCACTATACATAGCCTTCATAGATTACGAGAAGGCGTTTGATTCAGTAGAAATATCAGCCGTCATGCAGACACTGCGGAATCAGGGCGTAGATGAAGTATATATAAACATTCTGGAAGAAATCTACAGGGGATCAACTGCTACCATGGTGCTTCATAAAGAAAGCAACAGAATACCAATCAAGAAGGGTGTAAGGCAGGGGGACACAATCTCCCCAGTGCTATTTACCGCGTGCTTACAGGAGGTTTTCAGAAGCCTAGAATGGGAACAGTTAGAGATAAGAGTTAATGGAGAATACCTTACTGACCTGCACTTCGTCGATGACATTGCATTGCTGAGTAACTCAGGGGACAAATTGCAATTCATGATTACGGAGTTAGACAAGGACAGCAGAAAGGTGGGTCTTAAAATTAATCTGCAGAAAACAAAAGTAGTGTACAACAACCTCGGAAAGGAGCAGTGCTTCGAGATAGGTAATAGCGCACTTGAAGCTGTAAAAGACTGTCTACTTAGGACAGGTCATAACCGCGGAAGCCGAACCACGAGATTGAAGTAACTAGAAGAAGTAAGAATGGGGTGGAGCACATTCGGCAAGCACTCTCAAATTATGACAGGTAGATTGCCACTATCCCTCAAGAGAAAGGTATATACCAGCTGTATCTTGCCGGTACTTAGCTACGGAGCAGAAACCTGGAAGACTTACAAGAGGGTTCAGCCTTAAATTGAGGA